GCAGTGATGCCAGCAGGAGCAATAGCGGTGCAGAGGGAACTGGAAGCACTAAGGAGGTGGAGAAGGGCTGGCCAGAAGCGCTCGCCGTGTCCCTTCATCTGCAGTATTCTCTGGGAGCCTCATGTGATGGAGGTGACAAGGGCGGATGGCCCCTCAGGGAGCCTTTCCCTGCCACCACCACCTTCCGTGCGGAGGCAGCAGCTATTCCTGCCTGCATCCCGTGCAAGTGCAAGGGTGGGTGTGAACGTACATTAAGTGCTTCCGTGCTGCCGCTGGAGATTTTCTCGTCTCGGGTACAGCGGTGATGTTCCTGCGTGGGTTTTCCAAAAGTACCGAGAAAGGTCATTGCTGCAGCACACACAGTGCTTTTCCAAGGTCATAATTTTCAAGGTATAGCACACCCTGGCAGAGCTACACAAGTCCTCGTAAGATAGCAGGTGAATGTTTGCAAGACTTGCTAAGGGATTCCTTTGGCTGTGACTCTTCCCCTGGAGTTATTTTCTTTAAAATGGATTCCGCAAGCAACTGTGTGTGGCAGTATAATGGATTCCTTGGGTATTACGGTCTCTCTTCTATACTAGCACTGCTAAACCTCGGGCTCATTTTGAAGTCCACAGTAGTTTTCTGCTTCCCGCTCTCCTGTGTGCATCTCCAGAGGATCAGGATCGCTGCTGAGGTGCCTCTGGGCAGGGAGGTGGCCCTTGTGTTGCTGCAGGTGATGGGTTTGCTTCATCTTCACTTGCAGGGTTTGCTTTGCAAAGGGACAGAAGATTCCAAAGATGGGAGAAATCTGAGTGTTTTACTCATTGTTCCGTCCATTAACTGTTCTTTTTCTTTCTTTCTTTTTTTCTTTTTTTTTTTTTTAATGCTCTGTTTTCTTTCTGTTGCCATTGCAACTGTAACTTTGATTTCTTTTTACCTTGGCTTAAATAGGCAAAGCATGTAGCTAAGTTAGGAGGTTCTTTCCAAGTGATGATGAGAATTTAAGTCTAAATTTTAGGGGGTTTTGCTTTCTTGCATTAGTACTTGAATTTAATAACACCGTTGGAGTTTATTTGAAGAAGAGATTGCTGGTTTAGGGCCTTGGAGCCTCTTGATTTTTTGCAGCATCATCAGAACTTGAAAACACAGCAAGTGTCAGATAAGCTAAACCTGCGTGATCCTTAACAGCAGAAGGAAGGCGAGGGACAGTGCATATGTGCACTAGTGTTCTTACTTGTCAGCGACCGCTAATTTTGGGAGATGATGCTGTCATTTTCATGTTAAATAACGCCTGTATCTGATTACTGTCAGAGTTTAACCAGATACAGAAGTCCACTTTTTCCATGGGCTGGAGTTGGAAAGCTCTTAAGCTTAGGCTCCTCTGGGGGGGAAAAAAAAAAAGGACTTATTCTGTGTGAAGGTACCTGGTCAGTCTTAAAGGTCTTTGAGTTACCTTCAACATACACTGAACCAGTAAAAGTTTTCAACACCAACAGAGATGATGCTTTAGTCGGGTCCTGCAGTCTTTGCAATCATCTTCAAAACCCAACAGTGCTTAAAAAGCTAATTTTTAAAAAGAATTTAAATGGTTTCCATCAATCTCAAAATCATTAAACATTAGAGGAAAAAAATCTATACCTAATCTCCTCGTGATTAGTCTTCTATTGCGTTAGCAAATCTCCATATATTAAGAAGGATTTATCTGTGCTTTATGGTATCAAAAATGTAAAACTCATTAGGTCATGGTGGGAAGTGTTGTTTAATTAATGGGGTTTAAAGTGATTGTGGACTGAAGAAGGGCAAATAAGAGACATTTGTGGTAGTTGAAACGTGATATTTTTATACTTTTATTATTAAAAATAATTTTATGCGGGTATAAAGATGGAATCTAAGGACAGATCCTTCTTTTTATGATGACCATTTTCTCTGCAAGCTGCACTTAACACACATACATCTATATTCCAGTGTAGAACTGTACTTTGTAACACAGTTTACTCTTTCAAAAAAAAAAAAAAAAGGTTATTTATGTAAACTGGCTGATGTTTTACTTAATTTTTTTGTTCTCTATGAATGTGTCATTAACACTAAAAGCACTTTGTCACTCTGATTCCAGCTAGACACCCAGAATTAGTGAATCCTTTTCTGTGTGCTGTCCTTTCTAAAGACTGCTTCGGTAGGCCAACAACATCAATATTGCAGCGGTTGTTCCAAGGCCAAAATTGTTATCGATGGAAGAATTTTTACTAATTATAGATACGTGTGCTAATAGCACATAATAGCGACTGGAAGAAATGTTGCGTGTTGCACTTTCTTTTCTCTTCTTTTTAAGGGCTTTCACATGATACAAATATCCTGGTACAGCAAATTTTTTGTTGAGTCCTTTTTGTTTGAGTTTTGAAGTCTTTGTCTACTGTCCTTCATTTCTCAATTAATAGTTTTTAGACTTTGTTTTTAAAACTATGAAGCCTAAAACTTTTATTTGGGGAAGAGAGCAGGTTCATTGTTTGGTTGCTAGCATTTTTAGTGTTATGAACCAAAGTACACTATTATTTCCAGAATCTGAATATTTTTCAGGTTCATGGAAAATGATTAACTGGTAATAGCTCTCTGTGTTTATATGCTTGTTGTTAACTGATGAGGTCATGGACTATTGTACCCGTAATGTTAGAAATGTCATAACTATATGGTATGAAGATCTAAGAGTTTAAAATGTCACATGCTGTAGTTCATTACATAATTTTGTGCATTTTCATCCTTTAATTTTGTACATCTTTTTGTTTGTTTGTTTTTGTTTTAAACTTTTTTTTTATTTGTTTGTTTCGTTTCCATTATCTAACTTTTTGTTTTCCCCCCTTAAATGTTTTGGTGATTCTCCAGAACCAACGAAACGTATGCTTTCCTTCCAAGGGTTAGCGGAGTTGGCTCATCGTGAGTATCAGGCAGGAGACTTTGAAGCAGCAGAGAGACACTGCATGCAGCTTTGGAGACAAGAGCCTGATAATACTGGCGTGCTTTTATTGCTATCCTCCATTCACTTCCAGTGTCGCAGACTGGACAGGTAGGAGACCTGTTTTACTTTTAGTTTGTATCTGTCATAATATTGAGCACAACTGACAAAAGTTCTGTTTAAAAAAAATGTGGTTTTATTTCGCACAACATACACTGACTTAACTTCTTGACAGCAGTAAGGATTGGTCCAAAAATGTTCTTTCTTTCTGAATTTTGTTAGGGCAAAAGGAGTCCAAATACATATTTCTAGCCTTGCAACACACAGCAGATGTTGTTAGTTGTGTTTTACTTTAATATTACTCACTTTAATATCAGGATATCAGGCCTGCTTATGTGTACCAAGGGCGTTTGCACTTGTAAACTTGTAAAATAATTGTTCATTCCACCTGTAGTGTGGGTTTTGTGGGGATTTTTTTTACTGGTGAGACATGACGACTGTTTGCTGTGAAGTGGCATGATCAGTTGAATGTTTTGTCCTCTGCAAGTTGTCTCCACGTTTCCTTTCTGCCTGTTCCTGAGCTTGCTTTATGTGCCTCAAGCATTTCAAACCTTATTAACTGTTATGTCTGTGAATGTCCTGTGTGTGTCCTGGCGATGGAGGTGATTTGTGATGGGGATTTATGTAGGCTTCTAATTAAAGTAGTAGTAATGAAGATATGGGGAAATGTGGGGAGGAGGCAAACTTTTACATTTACATACTGCTGTATCCTATTTCTTGAAAAGAGTAACTAAGCAAAGACCTTGCTTAGAGGAAACACTTCCAGTGGTGGCAGAAGCTTAACACAAATTCTACAGTCACTTCTTTTTAAACTGTGTTCAGTTCAAGTTTAGCAAGAAGCTTGAAGAACTCTCCTGTTAGCAAACTAGAGTTGTCTGTCTTCGGTAGAACCTACAATGGAAGGGAGATGGGAATTTAAGAGAAGCTAGACAAAATTTAAGACTGTTCTCTGCAACTTCAGATTTGTTGGCTGTATGTTTGTGTTACTCGAACGTGAATGTTAAGTAGGTAGACGGGCAAACAAAGTCTTTTCTTTGTTTTAATTTGTCTGGTTTTCTCCAGGTCTGCTCACTTCAGCACTTTGGCTATCAAACAAAATCCGTTGCTGGCTGAAGCCTACTCGAACCTGGGCAATGTGTACAAGGAACGTGGACAGCTGCAAGAAGCCATTGAACATTACAGACACGCACTGCGCCTCAAACCAGACTTCATCGATGGATATATTAATCTGGCTGCTGCACTGGTAGCTGCAGGTGATATGGAAGGAGCAGTACAGGCCTATGTGTCTGCCCTTCAGTACAATCCTGTAAGTAACACTGTTTTGTGGAAGAGCTGCGTGCTTCATTGCTGCCCCAGGACAGACAGACAAGTAACAGGTTTCCATGGATGTGGAAAGATTTAGGACTATTTAACTCCAGCTGTTAGTTAAAGAGAACAACAAGCGGCCCTTCACCCCCAAGATGGCCACCTTAAATTTCATCATTTACTTAATTTTTTTTTTTTAAGATGTATGAAATACCATTGTCACAAATCTCTACAGATACATGCTAAATCTTAATAAATCATCAGGTACTATTTTATGAAATCCACAATTCTATGATGATTACAGTTTCACTGCTTAGATTTCCACACTGGGCAGACTTATAGAAACATTGATTTATGCTTTACAGACTGCAACTGTATCTATCTAAACATGGCTAAATTGATCTAATTGGTATATTATTGGGAGTTTTTAGTGATAACTTTTGATTTTTGCATTTTAACAAATGTTGAATTAGACTGATAGCTTCTATTTATTTTGAATTACACTCAATGGTATAGTCATACTGAGCATGGTGGAAGTGTCTCAGTTGTTTGCTGTTTGGTGATAAATGTCACTGTTTTGCCAGAAATACTTACAAAGCACCATTGGTTTAACGCAGCTAGGCATTTGCCCTTTGAAAAGGGAGATGCAAAATAAGTTCAACAAATGTTAGGAATATTGTAAGATGGTATATTCTTATATAAGTCTTGCTTAGGTTAGAAACTTTTTTTCATTACTGTTGATAGACAACATAGTCTATGGAAACATTTCTTCGCATGTACTGCCAGAGACTGCAGTTATAGTCTATGCTCTGGTTACAAATAAAAGTAGAAAAAAAAAAAGGCATGTGGGAAGACTGTTGAAAATGCACAGATGATGAAAAACAGGGAGAAAACCCCTGCTTAGGGAATAGAGGAGGTGTGGTCATTATATACATATTTTTAAAATGGTTTCAGATTATTAACGGTGTAAATTAACAGTACAGGCCTTGTGGGGAGCAGACAGTCATAGTTTAGTTAAAAAGAAAAAAACAGTCTTAAAATGTGTGTTCTCCTCTGTCAAAAGAATTAAAGTTATCTCAGGAGCAGGGGCTTGAGCTTAATTTTGGATTTATTTTGTATTTCTCTCTAAACAGGCATTGTATGAGTTGGTCGTTTCTTTGTATTTCTTTATGGTTGTACTGCTGTGATGTTAAAATCAATATAAATGTCACCAATAATAGTCAAGAAAAATCATTCATAATTGAAATGGAATTCCACTAACTAGTTCTCTCTAATTAATTTTAAAGCAGCAAACCTAAGAACTTTGTAAGACCTCGGTGTGGACCTTTGGGGTGCCTGTGAGGTCGTGAAGTTTAAGTGCTGATGGTGTGATTTGATTTTTCAGGACTTGTACTGTGTTCGTAGTGACCTGGGGAACCTGCTCAAAGCCCTGGGTCGCTTGGAAGAAGCCAAGGTAGGTGTTCAGTAGAATACATTTAAACGTCAGTGTTTTGAAACCTTGAACTTTGCACCAAGTCTTCAGATCTGCGTTGATCTACAGACAGTCTGAGAAACTGCTGAAAACTGAAGGCACTGAAACACCCCAGAGTAGTAGCAGGGCAAGCTATGGCATGTCCATGTTTAAAAGTTGGTTTAAATCAAGAAATGGAACATTACCAAGTCTTTCTGCTGAACTAGACTATCTGAAACCATTCTGAAGTATTGGGCAGGGGCTCCACCATGCTCTTAACTGGAAATAAGTCCTTCAAATCTGAGGCTTGCCTGCTGGTGCCAAGCAGAGAGCCTGTGATTAGCTCGAGATCCCTGTACGATGCAGGTACTATTGAAAGTGCTGCTCTTCTAAAGTCCTTTGTGGCTTGTAAGTGGAGAAGAAACTTATCCAAATGTTATCTTGTAATATTGGCTTTTAAAGATTTTTATTCTTTAACTTTTCCCTTCCCTCAATAGTGGAAGAAAGGCTATTAAATGATGAATAGCTGCAGTATGCAACCTCCCCCTCCCCCAATAACTTTTCTTCATGTCTTCCCTATTCCCTTCCCCCAAAATAAAGAAATCAGAAGGACAAAGCTGGTTTGTTCGGTAAATGAACTGATCGAAAGAAAACTTGCTGTAGTGGAAAGGTGGCTTCTAGCAGTCTGTGTTTTCTAAACTGAGAATTCGAACACCAAGATGAGTTTAAAGTTCTTGGCAAGTTAAAACTTCAATTGCGCGATGAAATTGTCTTGTTACAAGCCACCTTACGCGTCCGCGCTGCAGGGGTGAGGAGTGTGGAGAAATCAGAAACGCTCTGGACTCCACGTCTGTCACTCCAAGCCCCACGCGCATGCTAAAAAGTGGAGTGTATGAACAGCGTAGCTGTCTGTTTGGCTGCAGTACCATTTGGGGAGGGATTAGATCTTCGTGGGGTAATGGGAAAGCAGGTTCAAATTTTCTTCTTTGTTGATTTCTCTGACAGCTTGGATGTGTGTACCTTCTTAGAACAACCTAATTTGGTCAGATCCAGGTTGAAAATATTTTGGAGCAGTGTTTACAGTTTGAACTGTCTTTGAGACACTTGGTTCTCAGCCCACCAAGCGGACAGCTAACACGAATTGCACTTCACTGCAGCTTTAGTGTGACTGGTATAGGCCAAGACACTGCGCCTGCCTTAGGTTGCTGACTTCTTTGTTTCAGAGCTCTGGAGACACCTAGTTTGAAAGTGTTATTCCGTTTTGTGAGAACTTAATAAACCAGAAAAACATCTTGAGTAAATTGCAATGTGTTTCTTTGGCTATCAGTCCATTTGAAAGATCAAGCCAGCAAATTCCTTACAGTTTGAACTAAAATTTAATTACTTTGTAGATATTTCAGAGCCTTTCTTCCAAAAAAAAAGAAAAAAAAAAGTCCCTGCTGTATGCAATTGCCCTGATTAACCCTCTCCCTTCTGCATGTCTCCCTTGTTACAGACAGATTGTCCTCATTCCCATGTGTTAGACATATCCAAAAAAATTGCAATTGCTTTGTTGAACTTTTACTAATGATCTTGTTTTATTTTCTCTCTTGTTTTTGGTTTTTCACCACTGATATTGTATTTAGAAGGTTTCAGGTGGGTGAAACCTCCTATTCCATGCGTAAGGTGCCTCGCTGAAGGGAGCTCGAGGCCTGGATCTAGGGCAGACACACACCTCCTCCTCCTCTTCCAGCAAGGAACGCACCGAAAAGTCACATGATGAGAAATATGGTAACGGGTTTGTAACTGCCACAGCAAAACCATTTGCCTCCATGCCTGAATCTTCTGTCTTGTGGCTTCAGAAACAGCTTAAAATATTTAATTACAAGCAAGTAATGTAAGAATGTTTTATACTAGTAGCCACAAATTCTTTCAAAGAAATAAAAGTAAAAGTAAATTAAGATATTTTTTAAAGAAATAATTGGAGATAGTTAATAGTAAAAGCTTCTAACTCTTCTGGTTGTTCATTTTTTTTTCCTTTTTTCTTCTTTGTTTGGATTGCAGCGTTCTGCTCTTCTGATGATGCGCTGTGATCCTGCAGTAGCGCAAAGGCTGCGCAGCGGTAACGCGCAATGCGTGCGATGAAGCCCTTGTGAACGGTTGACTAGATGATTAATCTCTGATTGGGTGACTGCCTAAGCTCCAGGCTGTAGCCTTTTGGATAAAATCGGGTTATAATGCATTTAGAGTCCAGACATCAAATTTAATTTCAAGTTTCTGTACGGGCCTGTCTGGTAGATTAATGATTCTGGTTGGCCGTTCACTGTATCTAGGGGCAATCGATATAGGCCAGCAGTTCGCAGCGATAGCGTGGCGCCGTGCTGTTAGGATGCGCAGCGATTTCTTGCGCTTGCATTACAGGGACCTAAACCTTCATGCAATCCTGTCATTTGAGGTTTTGAAGCTGTAGATGATACAAAGTACCTGAAGAAGCTGGCAAATGAGATTGGGCACGTCGTCTCTCCTGAGTAGGACAGTTAAAACTCAAGAATGACTGCGTCTCTTTTTCAGTAGTTTTTCTAATTCTTATTTTTTATCCCCCTAGGAATACTATGCCATTTAAAAGATTGTGTCTTACAGAAAGACATTGTTTTTTCCTTCCTTTTTTATTTTTATACCCTTAATTGTGGCAAATAACTGCTGAACGAAGTACTCAACTTCTAAGGCTGCTTCCGAGGTGACCTGGTGTCTGCAGGAATGTTAATTTGTTACCAGCATAACTGAAAAATGGTGGGCTTGCACCTGGGTTTTGGTTTGCGCTGGCGCAGGATCAACAGCTGTTTGCAGCGCATTAGTTTTCGCGCAAGCTAGCCTATACTGCAGGGTCACTTTTGGCTGGTTAGAGAAGGCATACTAACAATTGTTTTTCTTATTTTTTTTTCTTTTTTACAAATATTCCCCTTCCCTTGTATCTCTCCTCTTTAACTGTTCCAAGGCCTGTTACTTAAAAGCAATTGAGACTCAACCAAACTTTGCAGTGGCTTGGAGTAATCTTGGCTGTGTTTTCAATGCCCAAGGAGAAATCTGGCTTGCAATTCATCACTTTGAAAAGGTAACTATCTAAACCCATCAGCCTTGTTAGTAGATTTGAATTGTCTCCTTGAGTAAGAACTTTTGTAGATGGCAGATACATTTTGATGAGCAGAGAATTTATAGTCCTGCTAGTTAACATCTTATGTTAATCCTTTTTTACTTCCTGATGTTTCAGACTGCCTCTATGCCACTAAAGAGATATGTTTAGAATTGCCCTAAGGACTTCACACACATGTCAAAGATAAGAAAATTCGTTAAGTTGTTTTACAGTCCTTTTCCAGAATAGAATTTTTAAAATCTAATTCTGGTGGGAATAGTGTTTGAGTATGTTTGTTGTGGTGTGTGTGTGTGTGTGTGTGTGTGTGTGTAAAAGCAACAAGTCTGTTCTAAAATCTCTTTTATTGCGATCCTGTTCCAGGTATTCTTGCTTTCCTGTGGGTACCTGAGGAGAACAAGTTACAGGGATACATTTAATTCCTCTTCTCCAGATTTTTTTTCACCATTAGTGTTTCAGACTTCTCTAGATTAGATTAATGTGGTTAATTCTTACTGTCATGTGTTGTCTGATCCTTCTATGCTGTTAGCTGGTTAGCATATGAATTCAATTTGTACTGAAAGTGACCTAAAACCAGGTTTAAAATGTGGTGGGCACTTTCTTTCTGGTATCTTAAGACTTACAGATGTACATAAAAATATTTAGCTTTTTTTTTTTTTTTTTTTTTTTTAATGAACACTACCTCTTCCTCCCCTGCCACCATATTCTGGTTAGTGATATAAAAAGTATTTTGATTTGAAAATAGAAATTCCTATGGGAAAGACTGTGATTCACACCAATATTTGACTTGTCAAATACTTACCTATAGGTTAGTACTGAATTTCTTGTGATTTTTATAAGCTGTCAAAAATTTTGAAGTTTTTGTACATTTTAGTATTTTTGCGAGGAATGTTTGTGTTTTTTTTTCTTTAAGTGGCTGCAATTATATTCCACACACATGACACATCTGCTCTTTTCTTGCACCTCTAGAACTTTTAGAGCTAGAAAACACTCATTTCCAGTAGAAGAAGGCTGCAGGGTCTGTTCCTCTAAAACAGAGCAGCATGGGTGGGTGGTTAGGAATGAATAATCTAACATGGAATACGTGGTGTTCTGCAGTACTGACAACAGTGTTAGTTGGTATCAGTGCTACTATGCATGACTTAGGAGGGAACTAGGTCTTGACTTAGGTAAGCAGATGAGTGAATTTCAAGGTAGAATATCCTGTGTTTTGTACAAATTAAAAAGGGGAAAGAAAAACCTGTCAAATGGTTTGCTTAACTTAAGTTTTCCTTCCTCACTAGCTTGATTAAAATGTTAGATATTTGCAGATTGAGTTTGTCAGTAAACAAACAGACGAAAACCTCTATTTTGTAGAAGTGTTTATCCGTTAATGCTCAAAGATGTTACTTTAAAAATATTTTCAGGCTGTAACACTTGACCCAAATTTTTTGGATGCTTACATCAATCTGGGGAATGTCCTGAAGGAGGCAAGGATATTTGATAGGTAAGTAAATAAGTAGTGTCACTCCGTCAGCAGCCTGTCAGATGTATCAAGGTATAAACCAAGTTCTTGATATAAAATCTCTTTGGACAGTTTAGTGAAGACCTCTGCTCAAAGGTAAGAAAGCAAATGGCTTTGGAGCACATACAGAACAGGATACTGGGGTTCAAACAAACATCTCGTGGAACATACTGTTTCTGAAGGCATTGAAAACAGACTTGAAGTTAAGGCTGGAAAAAAGTAATGGGGATGAGTCTGAGAAAAGCATGCAAGTCCCCCTGTGTAGTCTTTTCTTTTTTTCATTGTATGATTCCAGACCTGATTGATGTATGTATTTTTTTTTTCTAAAATTTTCCCTCTGTGTAAGACATGCTGAAATGCTGAATTTCAGTTAAGAATCTAATTAAATATTATGGGTTTATTATGGATGGCCATCATGTTACTACGTGTTGCTGCAGTACTGTTGCTGTCTTTCCAAACCAGCTTGTTTTGAGACATCTGATGCATGAATATTAGTTTTGTTTCTGTAGAAGATCCAGGCTGTATTGTGTTCTCTGCAATGTGCCATATTGTGCCTGTTAATTGGATTACCGTTCCTGGCAGCTGGGGTTTGTGGCCCAAAACTCAATAAAGGTTTGCAGGGAATGGGTTAATTATTCTAAGTAGCTGTAGTGCATGCCCAGTATAAAATGTTCAGTGATTCTGTGTTAACTGCAGATTAATGGGCTAAACAAGGACATGTTTACTGGTCATTCTGGAATTTACAATACCTTATTGAGTTGTTTTTTTTTTTCCTTAAAAATATTAGTGTGACTCCCCTCCCCGCCCCCCATGAATCAAATTTAACCACAAGAATCACTTAAGCATAGTGCTATTAGGTGCAGATAATTAAGGATCCATTTTTGAACAAGGTGATACAGGGTGAACAAGAGATAAATGTGTTAGGTTAGCAAAGAGAATAAAGAAATGTAATAGTCTAAAACTGAGCTGTGTTCATATTGTTATAATCTAATTATGGCCTAGTTTAAGGAGAGAAATTGGAACCAAGATGTCATGTTTTTCCTAGCATTGAAGAATGTTTTAAAAAACACACCCCAAAAAATCTTTACCTTTCTCACAGAAGACTTAAGTTAATCATTATACAGTATCAGTTAGGGAGAAAGAAAAAAATCCCATTTTAGAACATTTGGATATGCTGTGAACTGCACACCATCAGCTGTTCTCTGTGGTGGGACCTCAGAATAAGCTGGTACTGATTCCATTTGGGAGAAGGAGGGTTAAGTGGGGCAGGACATAAGAATCATATCATTTTAACTGAGTAGATTTTGTGCATCTTTGTGAATATGTTTCCCTTGAAGGTCTTTTTTTTCTTTTTTTTTTTCTTCTTTTATATAGCTCTCTTTTTTTTTGAGGTAAGTGTACAAGGTAGCTCCGCAGGCGATCGTTAACCTTCTCTTTCTCGTTGCAGAGCTGTAGCAGCTTATTTACGAGCTCTGAGTCTGAGTCCCAATCACGCCGTCGTGCACGGCAACCTTGCCTGCGTGTACTACGAGCAAGGGTTGATAGACCTGGCAATAGACACGTACAGGAGGGCCATTGAACTGCAGCCCCACTTCCCTGATGCCTACTGCAACCTGGCCAATGCCTTGAAGGAGAAAGGCAGTGTAAGGAGTACTTTTTTCCCCTTGGTCTAAATTTTAGTTCAATTAATAGTTATTTTATACACTAATTATTAGCTTTATTAAAATGTCATCTGTGTGCTTTTCTTGTTTATCAGGAAGAATAGGGGACATCTCTACTTTGAACCTGTTAAAATGTTTGTAGAATAACTTCTCATAAGGGGTGATTTTACAGCAGATGCTGCCACATTAGGCAGTTCCCGTGTTTATTTTACTCCATTTTTTCCTTAAAGGTGGCCGAAGCAGAAGAGTGTTACAACACAGCTCTTCGACTCTGTCCCACACATGCAGACTCTCTAAATAACCTAGCAAACATCAAGCGGGAGCAGGGGAACATTGAAGAAGCTGTTCGCCTTTATCGGAAAGCTCTTGAGGTATGGCTAAATGCATAGTTAATGCAGCAAAGGCATTTTTCCTTTTCGGCTGTGAGGAGAAGAAACTTTGCTGAAGCATACAAAACATTTTTGCATTCCTTACTCTCCTTTTTATGCCTGTTGGTTCTGAGGGACAAATTCCACTTATTTTTTTTTCCAGGTGTTCCCAGAGTTTGCTGCTGCACATTCAAATTTAGCAAGTGTTCTTCAACAGCAAGGAAAGTTACAGGAAGCTCTGATGCATTATAAAGAGGCTATTAGGTAAATGGATTTGGTTTCTAATATTCTTAATATTTCATAACAGGAAAGTACCGTAGATCCGTACAGAAAATGTCTTACAATGGCATATTGTAATTCACATAGCTGCTTTGCAAACCAGACAGGAATCGGGGTATGGTTTTTTAATGATGAAACATCTTTTATTGCTCGTGACACATGTTATCTTGGTTTTCAGAATCAGTCCCACATTTGCAGATGCATACTCCAATATGGGAAATACTTTGAAGGAAATGCAGGATGTGCAAGGAGCTTTACAGTGTTACACCCGTGCCATTCAGATAAATCCAGCTTTTGCCGATGCCCACAGCAACCTGGCCTCAATTCACAAGGTAGCACATGCAAGTGATTCACTCTTACAGTATGATGGGGCATTGTGACTACTTATCCTGGATATATTTTTATCTGCTGACTCATTGCTGTTTCTTACAGGATTCAGGGAATATACCAGAAGCCATTGCCTCTTACCGCACTGCTCTGAAACTGAAACCTGACTTCCCAGATGCCTACTGCAACTTGGCCCACTGCTTACAGGTGAGGAAAAGAGGTCTTTGGCTGTAATTTTTAAAGATTTTTCTTCAACAAATAAGCTCAAATACCTCAACAAATCAAGTAGTTGAGCAAACTTAAGATTGTACGGTCATCACAGTAATTGCTGGTTTTGTTTTCTGTCATTTGTGGAAGAAATGCTGGTCACAACTTGGAATCACATGAAGCTGTTACCCTATTATTTTTCAATTACCCTTTTCAATTTTCCCTTTCTAGATTGTCTGTGACTGGACAGACTATGATGAAAGAATGAAGAAGCTGGTTAGCATTGTAGCTGATCAGCTGGAGAAAAACAGGCTGCCTTCTGTCCACCCTCATCATAGTATGCTGTATCCCCTTTCTCACAGTTTCAGGAAGGCCATTGCTGAGAGACATGGAAATCTCTGCTTGGATAAGGTAGAGTTTTACACAGGCTTACTGTAATTGAATTACTGTATGTACTTTTCCCAATTGAATTATAGCTGAGTAACAGATTTTGTTTTTTAATACATTTGGGTTTTTTAGGCTTCTTAGCCATTGACACGCAGAGAGCTAGGGCATAGTGCTCGCTCATTTAGTTTTGCAGAGTACACAAGGGGTGTTCTGGAGAAGCCCAGAGTGAGAAAAATACAATTTCTGTATCAGTAACAAAGATCTAGGCAGGCATGTGTCAGTATTTCTCCTAGATCTGGTCCTGGCCAGCCTCCAGTGCTTGGAGTCTCACCTTGCCTCTGGAGAATCCTTGTCAGAACATGTGAGCTTTGTTTGCTTGGGTTTGGGATTTCCGAGATCCTTTGCTTGGTGGTGGTGGCAGCAGTCGCAGCATTACAGGGGTAATACATCACAGTAGGAAGTATTTAAATGTGTACTGGGATTCTGCTTTGGAGTATTTGGTGTGCTGTAGCACAGGTTCTTCCAAAAATTTATACGTTTAATTTAAACGTGTCTTGTGGATTCTTACCTGTGTTATTCCCACAAATGTCAGAACACCTCAAGCTGCCAGGAATCTTATTGGAGCTGATGGCAAATTCCTCTGTTTTTTTTTTTTTTTTTTTTTAAAAAGAGAGAAAAGACTTTTTTTTCTTCTTCAGACGGAGAATCATGGAACCTGTGTGTGTTGAGATAGACTGAGTCAACTGCCAGTTACAACTGAAAGTTCCCTGAAGTTAGTGGAGGGGTCTGGTTAGCACGAGAGACGAAGTGTAATCTCGGACTTCAGAACTGATAATGTGCAGCTTTCAAGCAGCCTGTGTAGCCTGATAGTCCTCTCGGTGGTAGTGGCAAAAAGCTGATGCCTGCAGAAGTTAGCATAAGAACAGAAAGCAGGCTGTGATGCTGCCTGGATATACTGATCTGCTGACAAGTAGCTTATAGTGTCAGAATTTCCTGATCATAGTGGTGTGCTCTTACATTTAATAATTGGGGATGGGTTAATTTTTTTTTTTTTTTTTCCAAAAAGGTGGTGTTAGCAAAGCAGAAATGACAGCAGCGGTGGTTGTCCACTTTCAGTAGTGGTGGTTATCTTTGTTTGACTAAATGTGGGCACGTGGCAACTAGTAACATGTTGTGTGGAAACTGCATTTGTCTGCAGTGGAATATACATATAGCAAGTTTCAAGTAACTGATGCCATAGCTTATTTGAATGTAGGGTAAGATTAATCCCCCAAGCTCGTGATCATTTTGGCACTCTCTTCAGCACTTATTTTGGTGCACAGGTTTCTGAAGAGTTTCATGTCTTCTTGACAGATTAATGTCCTTCACAAGCCACCATATGAGCATCCGAAGGATTTGAAGGCCAGTGAAGGTCGCCTTCGTATTGGCTACGTGAGCTCTGATTTTGGAAACCATCCAACCTCCCACCTAATGCAGTCAATCCCAGGAATGCATAACTCGGACAAATTTGAGGTAAAAATTTAAATGGCATACTGAAACTTACAAATATGTTATATTAAGGGAATGAAGTATTAAAAAAGCTTCATTCCAGGTTTCAAGCTCCTGTTTTGCAGAACAGGGGAAGCTGCTATATCCATGTGAAAGGTTTGAAATTTTCC